CTTCTCTCTCTTGCTTGGATCCCCTTTTGTGAAGAATGAGGGCTCTATTTATAGATTTTCTGGAGTGGCATGGTCCGTAAATAGGTGTGAGATCAAGGGCGAATAGGGAGTGGTCAAATGGACGGCCGATATTGAATCCTACGATCGTGTACCGTTCGTTGGCCATTTGAAGGCCTTAATGATGTCAGAATTCAACGATCTTGGGCTCGTTGGATTTTTCTCGTCGAGCCGTTCAATTCGAGTATAAGCTCGTAAAAATCGGAGACCGTTTGGTAACTCAAATTGCTGTTTGAACCTTCCAACAGCACTTTGAGCCCTTGATTCGGACTCATTTGGGCTCGGATTGGGTTGATCTTGGCGTCGTTGAGTTCGTATTTTCGAGACGCTCAGTTTGACTGTAAGCTCGCTGAAATCGGAGTTCATATGCTCCCGGATTTAATTTTTGAAGTCTTCAACTAGCTTTTGCCACGAGATTCGCGCCCGATCAAGCTAATTTTGTGACGATGTATCAACCAGAATCCCTCCAACCTCTCGCCGACTATGGTCCCTTCAACCTTTGCCTCCCTCCGACTACAGTCCCCTCCGACTATCATCGATTGCTGACTATCCACCGTCTCTCGCCGAATATAGTCCCTCCGACCTCCATCTCCCATCGACTATGATCATCCGATCATCGTCGCATATTGACGATGGCCCTTCGACTACTATCACCCACCAACTACAATCTCTCTGACATTCGTTGCCCGCCCGCGTAACTCAAGCTAAGGTCCTACTTAATTTTTTATAAATTATTTGCTTATAAAATATTCGATATAATACATTTTAAGAATTTCTTAAGAAAACTCTAACCTATTTCGCTTTTTCGTAAGAAAACATTAAATATTATATTAGCGTTTTCTTTAAAAAAAAAAGTGAAATTATTTGACATTGTTTTACTAAAACGCGATATGATTTTACCTTTTCCTTTTTTTTTTATAAATTTTTTAATAATTATGTTTTTTTGTTTAATTAAAAATAATTAATCTCTATTTTTCAAATATTTAATCATAATTAATTTACTTGTCAATGACTCAAATCAATAGCCCATATTTAATTTAATTTTATAGGTAGCTAGCTAATGTCAAGCTACAATTTTGTTCCCACACGTTGCCTTCAAAATTATGATTTTTCCATTTATTTGAACAGTACTTTGGCTATCTGTTTACACTAGATGAAAATGAAATTTTGCTTATTTTATTCTATTGATGTTTAGTGCGAAGCTTCTACGGATTAATGTAATCATAGTTTGCAACCTTCGGCAAGGCTTCGTAGGGAGCGTCCCTATCAATTAATAGGCTCTTATATGAAAATGATGACTTATGGTTGTATTTTGCTATCACTAAATATATTATTTAATAAGTTATTTTATGCAATATATAGAGAGAGTTATCAAAGAAAGAGTGCGACAGAGACGCTGCCATATCCTCTGTTATATTATTATTATTATTTTAATAGCCACTAGCTGTCATCTTATTAATAATTTTTTTTAATAGAGTGATTCAAATATAATTTGTGTGATTGGATACTTTAAGGTAGGGGTGTCAATTCGGGTCAACCTGAATCCGATCCGTTTTAACAAACGGGTCGGACATTTCAACCCGGACCCGACCCGGCCGGGTTGCCGGGTTGACCCGACCCGACCCGACAGCGTTCTTCCAATCTCTCTTTTTTTTTTTTCAAATTTGGCAAACGTGCTCTCAAAATTGATCCCACCTTGAAGCGACTGGAGACGGACGGCTGTGCAAAAACTTGATAAATTTGCAACAACTGGTGTTGATATTTTCCTTCATCTTGTAAAACACGCAAAGCAGGAGCATCAGAGATTCAGAAGCAGCAGCTTGAGCTGCACGGAGCTCGGAGCACGTGAACAGGATCCTTGCCTAAAAAGTAAAAATGATCTCATTGGGCGGAGCAAGGATAAGGAGCTTGTTATGGAGTGGCTGAGTAATTCATCAAATAAGCATCGGGGAGCTCATTTGAACAGAAACATTTTTTTTTTTAATTAAACGGGTTTACGGGTTGACCCGGTAACCCGCCGGGTCAACCCGACCCGACCCGTTTGATAAAACGGGTCAAATCTGTGAACCCGAACCCGACCCGTTTATCAAACGGGTCGGGTCCAACCCGGATTTTCCGGGTCGGGTTCGGGTCAGGTTGTCGTGTCGTGTCAAATATTGACACCCCTACTTTAGGGTCTATTTGGGGGAGAAAATAAAACTTGAGGACCAATGGCTTCGTCCAAACTTTAAACACGTAGAGACACATGAAACTTTTTTTTTTTTTTTTACACAGGGTGTGTATAAGATGAGAGATAATTACGAGCGGATGCTGGATACGTCCTGAGGTAAATTGAGAGACGTCACATCACACAATGCACAGCTCCTGATTGATGTTCGGGCGCATTTGGTGTCTGTACGCAATAATTTTTTGTATAAGAGAGAGAGAGAATGCATGTGACTTCACGTGATAGGAGTTCGAACAAAAAGTTTTGTCCGGACTCTACACACAATAGTCTCTCTTATTTGAAACAAATGCATCATTTTATAGATTTATTGTGAAACTGATGTTGCGATGAAAATAACTTAAATACTCTAGCTTCCAAAAATAATTTTCTTTGCATAAACTTTTTATTGTAATTGTTATCTAAAAAAAGCGTTGAGTATTTTGTCCTAAAGAAATCCCTCTCATATTCTTTAAAAAATAATGATTAGAAATTTTAATCTCATAATATATAATACATATATTTTGAAAAGATTTAAAAATATGATTAAAGATATTATTATTTCCTAAATTTTTAAGGACAATATGATTAAAGCATAATATTTTGTGAATTTTTCAAATAACGTGGAGTTGTCTTTGATCCTCCTTTCATTTTATTTTGTTATTTTTTCTTCTATCTTCTTACTCATTACATAATGCTTGTACTTAAGGTATCTTTCTCCAATAAGAACTCGAATTAAATAACTGTTAAAATTTAATATAAGTTGAGAGCACTATTTTAAAAAAAATCTTAATATATCAAACATAATCTATAATTCTCTTAGTTTTTATTAATAATTACTTTGATATAATATAAATTTATCTTAAATGAATATTATTTTACTTATGATCTACTTTTAAATATTATAGTTTTTAACTAGTTATTAAATATTGCATATTAATTAAAGATTAATTGTTCATCAAGTATACATAATTTTAGTCAATAATTTTATTAATTTATCTTTTTTAGTGAGATGATAAATTAAAAATTGTTTGAAAAATGAATAAAATGACTGAAGATTGGAGCTTGTAATAAGCTAAGTCGGTTCAGACCTAGATTGAGTTTAATAACTTTATAAGAAAATATACAACAAATATATGAAAAACAAATGATTATGTGATACATTAGTGTTTAATTACATCTAATCAATGTAATTTAACAAATCTAATTACTTTCTAAAATATGATTTGCAGCTTCAAGCAACCAAATAATGTCGTATAATCTTTCCAAAATTTAAGTTTTCCTTCATTTATATATTTCTCATATTTTTATTTAAATTAGATATTGATAATTTTCATTGAGATTTATAAAATTGTTTTATTTCTTCTAAACTATTCCATCATTTCTTGAAAAGAAATAATAAGACAAGCAAATGAAAAACCCATCAAAAGCCTTTTGTAGTATTAGTTATATTTTGGATTGTAAAATTCGGGTCACGGGTCTGGACCCGAAATTGACCCGGCACTATTCAATCCGGCCTGTTTTACTATTCAGCCCAACTCGAACCAAACCCATTTTTAAAAATGGGTCGGTTTTTCGGACCCAAAACTGACCCACCATGTGCCAACCGGGTTCGTGAGTCGTCGGCTCCTTCGTTAATGCTAGATTTCTCTTCTTGGACGACTTTTCATTCCAGTCAAATCAGAAGTTACAATATTTTGATCGGAAGCAACGACTGGAGTTTGCTCGCTGTGAAGGTAACTTTCTCCGTTTCGTGCGCTTAGAGGCGTCGAGGGTTTGCTTGTTTATCTTCTCTTTTTCATCATTTGTTGTAGTCTATGGAGATTGCAGGAGTCATCGGCTCCTTCGTTGTTGTTCGCCTTCGTTCATTGGATGATGTTCCCTTCCGATCGGATCGGTACGACGGGAGTTTGCTGGCTGTGAAGGTACCTTTCTCTGTTTCGTGCGCTTCTTCGGCCAAATCCCGTAATAAGTCCGAACTATACATGATTTCGGGTCAAAACCGGGTCATTCTTGGGTTTCCGGGTCAACTCGAACCCAACCCGGAATTTAAAACTGGTAAAAAATCAGGACCTAAATCCGACCCGTTTCAAATTTGGGTTGACCATAACCCTAAAAATTCAGATCGAGCTCGAGTCGGATTTTTAGGTCTTGTCACTTTTTTACACCTCTAAATATATTTTAACGAAGCCTCTAACTTCAGATCATTAGAAAAAAGAAGTCCCATTAAACTGTGGCTTATGATAATGCTCAAGAAATATACTTTCTTTCCTTGGATTTCCTTCTTAACAGTTCTACATTGGCGAAAGAAGAAGGAGGTCATGAGGCATTACACTTCTCCTTTCCTTTCTATCCATGCTAAGTTTACATAGCTCACTTCTTTCTCCCTCCCTGATTTTCCTGCAAGAGTCAAAAGTATTAATCTTTCCCCGAGAAGAAGTAAATAAAAGGTATCAATTACAGATTAAAGTAGAACTTCCAACCTAAAGAGAAAAGTCTGTTGCTTTACAAACTCTTCAATGGAATCGTATGATCTGTTCTTTTATTTCTTGTTTTTTGCTTGCACTCTCAGATTTTTGGTATTTAAACCTTCTTCTTTTATCGTATGGTTAGAACCGTGCCTCTTAGTTCTTCTAGTACTGTAAATGAGTCAAAGTTGACCTCAAATGAGTCGAGAGTAATAAATTAAGTTTGAACTCAAAATTTCTTTTTCTTTTTGAACTGGGAATTCACCACCTCCGAAAGAAACTTTTATTATGTACGGACACGGGACGGAAAAACCATCCGGTTAAGCATTGGGTATTCAAGGATACCGAGTGTGGGTACCCAGCAATGGTGTGACGTGACACATTTTTATTGGTCTATGGACGCCCTCCGCACAGAATAATAAATCCTCCGAAAGGGTGTTTGGCGGTGTGACTAATCATCGGCTGATCTAGAATAGGCATTAACTCCAGAAACCTCATGACTTGCACTTAATTGGGCCCCACTTAAAAGTCGTTACCGCTGTGAACTCAAATTTAAGTTAAAATTTTGAATTAGAGCTGACTTTTTTATCATTAATAAAATGAAATAATTTTGATTCAAGCTTGTTGTGATAAAATGAAAAAAAAAAAGAAAAAGAAAAATTAGATAAAAAGTGATAAGAAATTAATTGATATAATATAATGAGATATAATTTACATAATTTTATTAATTTTACACTAAATTTTTTATGTTGTAAATACATTTTATATGAATATTTTTTTAAATGATCTGACTAATAAACCAACAAATCAAGTCAGCGCTGACTCAAAATTAACTTACTAGTTTATTAAGCTCACCTTTAAGCTTCGTTTGGTACGATTTTTTTAGTGCTTCTTCAAATAACTTTCTAGTTTTATCATAAAAAATTAAATTTTTTTACAAAACCAGAGTCATTTATTAAGCAAATTCCTCCCAAAGAAAAAATGCAAGAGCTATTGATAATCTCAATTCCATAGGATGGAAGAACTCAACTTTCTGAAAGCACATGTGGCCTATTAATTAAAAAGATATGATTTTGTCCCCTCAGCTACAAATTTTAGCCACATATTTTTAAATTTTTAGCTCACTATTTAAATAAAAAACGAAACTTCTCTTACTTTTGGAAGTTCATAGCCCATCTTTTTCATGAGTTTCTCATAATACACTGTTGTATTAGCATTTTCAGACTTGTTCAGCTCGAGCAATCTCCTATAGTCGCCATTTGTCGCTCTCCCTCTGCTTCTTCACCAATCCCTCTCATCCTTCTCTAAGCCAGCCATATACTTACTTTCCTAGTATGAATGAGAAAAAAAATTTAGAGCTCCTACTATACAAATGATTCCATATACGTTATTTTGCTCTTCTGATCTTATTTTTGTCCCTATAAATATGAAAGAACCCCCATTCCCCTTCTCAACGCCTGCTTTCATGGCCAGCTTGCAAGGTCCCTGTGACCCTCCTTTCCAAGAAAGATTCAGCTCGCTGTTCTCTCCTGCAACTACAATTCAGCTGAGCTTGAAGAACGATGAACAATGTGAGCTTCCATTGATAGATTTATGGCGCTTGGAGTGCGGAGATGAAGAGGGGAGGAAGGCTTGTATTGCTGAAATAGGGAAAGCTTCTTCAGAGTGGGGGTTCTTCCAAGTAGTGAACCACGGAATCAACACGCAGCTTCTGCAGGCTATTAAAGAAGAGCAGAGGAGGCTGTTTCATTCGCCCTTTGAGAAGAAAGTGAAATCAAAGGTGTTTAATGAGTCTTACAGGTGGGGAAATCCGACTGCAACTTCGCTTGATCAGTTCTCGTGGTCAGAGGCCTTTCATGTGCCTCTTTCTAAGCTTGGAGAAGATGATGGTTGCTTTGAAGAGGAATTTAAAACATTAAGGTTGCATTTCTTTCTTCATTTGCTTCTCTTAGATCAGTGCAAGACAGGATTTTTGAAGTTGATTTTGACTTCTATTTTGTTGGCTTTGGCATTTTGACTGTTTTAGCTGTTTAATTTTGTACTTCATTTCAGTCATTTTTTTTAAATTAAACTATTGAATCATATATATTAATTAGAGGACACACCCAGAGACCTTTCGATTGTAAGGGCATCTCCAACCGAAATTCAAACACATGAATAATGTCGCTCGCAAGCTCCAGCCGAATGACAAAACTTCGGGTATTTGGTTGCGGGTGAACAGTGCAATGCCACATACGTTATTTTTCTGTCTCTACCAGATTTGCCGAATAAACGCGCAAATGAGGAGAAATACAATTAACTTCTGCAAAGGATGCAAGATGGAGCTCCATTAAAGATGAATCAAGCCATTTTTTAACTTCACTGCATTTTGCAGCCAAAAAAATGAAAATTTCTGTTGGAGATGCCCTAATAAATTATCTACTGCTCCAAAAAACAAATTATTGCAAATGTTTTACACGATTAAAGCATTTTGAATCTAGAGAAGGTGATAAAGTAAATGTCTAAAATGCCCTCCTTGAGTTAATTCAAAGTTCAAACCATTGCACTTTACTTCTCGCAGGGTAGTTATGCAGAAGGTTGCAGAAGCCATGACAGAGCTAGCGAGGATACTCGCTGGTGTTCTTGCTGAGAATCTGGGATGCCCAGCTACATGTTTTCTTGAGAACTGCAGCGAGAGCACCTGCTTTCTCCGCCTCAATCGATATCCGCCGTGCCCATTTTTCCCGGCGGCCTTCGGCCTCATGCCGCACACGGACAGCGACTTCCTCACCATTCTTCACCAGGATCAAGTGGGCGGCCTCCAATTGATGAAGGATTCCAAATGGGTCTCCGTCAAGCCCAACCCAGACGCTCTTATCGTCAACATTGGAGATCTCTTTCAGGCATGGAGCAATGATGTCTACAAGAGTGTGGAGCACAAGGTAATGGCTAATGGGAAGGTGGAGAGATATTCAATGGCTTACTTTCTTTGCCCTTCGTATGAATCCATTATAGGAAGCTGTAAGGAACCTTCTCGCTACAAGAAGTTTACTTTTGAGGAGTTCAGGAGGCAGGTGCAGGAGGATGTGAAGAGAACTGGATATAAAGTTGGGCTTGCAAGATTTCTTATATGATTTTGCCTTATTAGTAATGTGTTGGATGAATTGAGTTCTTAGACTAACTAAAGGAAAATTACTGAACGAACCATTCAAATTTGTAAAGTTTTTGAAGAAACCAGAGGATACAAGAAAGTAACTGGAGACAGAGAAAGTTTAAAAGTAATTGCATATATTTTCTATATCTCTTACAGCAGCTATAAGTTGCTTTATATAGACTAGGTGTGTACGGAAAGTTCAAGAAAGCTTGTTGCTTAATTACATATTTTATTGAACAAAAAAACTAAATTAATATTATGTATTTCTGGTTCTAATACTCCCCCGCAAACTGATGGGTCTTACGTGACTGTCAGTTTGTGACGAAGTTTTTGAAATCGCGGAGTCGAGAGAGCTTTAGTGAAGATGTCCGCAACTTGATCCGTTGTACTGATCGGTAGAATGGAGATATGATTATTTTGTATATGGTCGCGTATAAATTTTTGATCGATCTCTATGTGTTTTGTACGAGCGTGGAAAACAGGATTGTTTTCCAATGCGATTGCGGAGGTGTTGTCGCAATATATCTTGGTAGGACCTGTTTGATGTAGACCGAACTCTGAAAGCAGCCTTCTAATCCAGATAATGTCTATCGTGAGAGACGCCAACGCCCGGTATTCGGATTCGGTGGATAAGCGAGCCACTGTGTGTTGTTTCTTGACGGTCCAGGATATGATTGTGTTGCCTAGAAAGGAACAGTACCCCGAAGTGGATTTTCTGGACTCCGGATCTCCTGCCCAGTCGGCATCTGAAAAAGATTGTAGAGTAAGATCAGATTTCGTCACTGGAATACCGAATTTGGACGTACCTTTGAGATAGCGCAGAAGTCATTTGAGTAGATAAATGTGTTGTGGTTGAGGATTATGCATATGATGTGACAGTTGATTTACGCTATACGAGATATCGGGGCGAGTGATGGTTAAATATTGTAATGAACCTGTGAGACTTCTGTATAGCTGTGCATCCTGAAGAACATTGTCGGGGTTGAATGTATCCGAAATTTTTGTACAGGTTGGGTTTGCCAGTTCCTTGCATCCCGTCAGTTGCGCTTGTGCAAGGAGTTGATGTATGTATTTTTCCTGTGAGAGAAAATAGTAGTTAGAAAGCTTAGTGATTTTGATACTGATGAACTCTGAGACATCACCGAGATGTTTCATATTAAAATGATGATTTAGTTTGGTAAGAATTGTAGTGACCGTCTCCTGGTCATTCCCTGATATGAGAATATCGTCGACGTATACCAGTAGGTAGATTCGAGTGTGGTTTTTGTTGTAGACGAAGAAGGATGGATCGGATTGGCTGTGATCAAAGCCTAGATGAATAAGCGTATTGGTGAATGTATTGTACCACTGTCTCGGTGCTTGTTTTAAGCCGTAGATTGCTTTATTGAGATGACACACATATTCCGGATGAAGATTATCTTCGAATCCTCTTGGTTGAGCCATGTATACTGTTTTTGATAGGTTACCATGTAAAAATGCGTTTGCCACGTCAAGTTGTTGTACTAGCCAATTGTTGTGTAGGGCAGTTGCGAGGAGGATCCTGATGGTCGGTAATTTGGCCACCGGGCTGAAGGTTTCTAGGTAATCGATTCCGTGTTGCTGGTGATTACCTTGAGCCACCAATCGAGCCTTGTGAGTGGCTACTGTGCCATCGGCACGACGCTTGGTCTTGTAAGTCCATTTACATCCAAGAACTGACGCATTGGGCGGTGGTTTAACTAGTTGCCACGTTCCTTGGCGTTGGAGGGCTAAGAACTCCGTGGCCATTGCTTGATGCCACTCGAATTGCTTGACGACTTCAGCATAAGTTGTGGGATCCGTTTGAATTGTCTCCGGAGTGTGTGTATGAAGCAGATTAAGTTTGGTGACCGGTCGAAGAGTGACAGTCTTACTTCTTGTCACCATAGGATGGTGCTGAGATGAGTTATGTATCTGTTCTGTTGGACGAAGTTGAGCTGCACTTGGGATTGCAGTAGTTGTTTGGTGGTGCTCGATGGGATAATTTGTCGAGTATTGCTGAGTTAACAGAGGATTCCGGGAGTTGCAGGCAGGAAGTGTGGCAGGACCCATGGATTGCACTGAAACCGGAGGTAGAAGAGCTGGGGGCAAAATTCCCGGACTGTTAACTAGTTGAGGTGCTTGAGTTTCACATAAAGGAAATCTGTGTTCTTGAAACGTTACATGTCGGGAAATGGTTAGTTTGTTCGTGTTTACATTTAGGCACCTGTAGCCTTTATGGACGTCAGAGTAGCCGAGGAAGACATGTGGATATGCCTTTGGTTGTAATTTGTGACGTGCCTGCTGAGGTATGAGTGGGAAGCACTCACATCCGAAAACTTTGAGGTGATCATACTGAGGTTTGCATTTGTGAAACAGTTCGAACGGAGACAACTTGTTCGTTGTTTGTGACGGGAGTCTATTGATGAGATATGTTGCAGTGGATACCGCATCCGGCCAAAATTTGTATGGGACAGAGGCTGTGTCTAATAGCGTGCATGTTGTTTCTTCTCTCCGCTACGCCATTTTGTTCCGGCGTATATGGACAGGAGAGTTGGTGTAGAATAACATTTTTCTTGAGAAATGACGAGAACACATGGTTTACAATTTCGGTACCGCCGTCTGTCCGGAGTGTTTTTATTTTCCTGGATGTGTAATTCTCAACCTGTGTTTTAAAAAGAACAAATGTGTCAAATACTTCGGATTTTAATTTTAGAGGAAACAACCATGTGAATCTTGAATGATCATCGACAAAGATCACATAGTATCGAAATCCTTGATTGGATTCGACCGGGGCCGGTCCCCACACATCAGAATGAATTAAGGAAAGCAAATTTTGATTTCTGCGTTGAGCTGTATCGAAAACAATCTTATGACATTTGGACTTATTACAAGAACTACAGGAAAACTCAGAGTTGCCTACACCTAAAGCAGAATTACAATTTGAGATAATATGAAGAATTCGTTTGTTGGGATGTCCCAGCCTTTGATGCCAACGGACTGCTGACGAGGAGTTGGCTGCTAACCCACTGACTTGCTTCGGTTGAGGATGAAGAGGAATTTTGTAGAGTCCCTCTTTACATGGCCCTCGAAGAATGACTTTGTGTGTCTTCATGTCCTTCAAAGTAAAGCCGTTAGAATCAAAGATAATTGAGATGTCATTATCCCTAGTGAGTTGAGAAATGGAAAGCAGATTGTACTGAATTAATGGTGAATGCAGTATATGAGATAAATGCAGCTTACGAGACGGGGTCGGGAGAATGCCCGACCCTGTGTGAGAGATGTTGAGAGAGCTGCCATCTCCTATTGTGACGGTGTCCGCTCCTTGATAGGGTGTGGAGAGAGACATGTTGTCGAGTGAGTTCGTGAGATGTGAAGACGCTCCCGAGTCCAAGAACCAGTTTGGTTCAGTGTGTTCAGCTCCAGCAAGAAGAGCAGTGTTTGCGTTTCTTGATGACGGAATGTATTGCATATTTAGACGATGCCAGCAAGATTGCGCCGAATGTCCCTTCTTGAGACAAATTTGACAGATGAGGTTCGCAGAGGCTGTTGGACGCGAGGAATGCTGCGTGTTGGAGGATGCTCGGCCGCGCGATCTTTTACCTCTGCCGCGAGAATTAAACAGAGCAGTATTTGGATCGGTGCTACCTGCAGTTTTTGCGGCGTCAGATGCAAGATTCACTTCTTCACTAAGAAGAAGCGGGTAGAGTTGATCAAGCGTGATAGGTGTGAGCATCGTTCTGATAGCTGTTTTGAATGATTGGTATGACGCAGGAAGCCCGTTGAGTATATACAGGATAATGTCCTCCGTGTCCACTGTAGCACCGGCCACCGCGATCTGATCAACCAGAGATTTGATCTCCATAAGGTATTGAGTCATATTTGAGTTCTTGAAAGAGATGTGGTGAAGTTCATTCTTTAATTGAATGACTTTGGATCGATTTGTAGATTGAAATCGATTTTGCAACGATAACCAAATCTCTGTGATTGTCTCCAGGTAAATGACGTATGGAAGAACCTGAGAGGAGATGGTAGCACAAATTGCGGCAGAGATATTCTGGTCCGTGAGTCTCCATTTGGAGAATAGAGGATTCGGAGCAGATGATCCTTCAGTGTTTGTTATCATCTGAGAGGGAGGAGTGGTAGTAGTCTCAAGAAAGCTTTGAAATCCATTTGCCCCCACGATCTTGAGAACCTGAGACCGCCAAAGAGAATAGTTGTCGGCGGCGAGTTGGATCGTGACTACATTCTTGATGTTTGATACCAGAAACTTGAGATTGGAAGGGATGATCGGATCCGCCGTCTCAGCGACTGTTGAGGAGGTGCGGGTGTCCGTCTGGGAGGAAGCGGAGTTGGCCATTGGTAGGATACTAGCCTACTCTTGATACCATGAAGAAACCAGAGGATACAAGAAAGTAGAGGAAGATCGAGAAAGTTTAAAAGTAATTGCATATATTTTCTATGTCTCTTACAGCAGCTATAAGTTGCTTTATATAGACTAGGTGTGTACGGAAAGTTCAAGAAAGCCTATTGCTTAATTACATATTTTCCTGAACAGAAAACTAAATTAATATTTATGTGTTTCTGGTTCTAATGGTTTTGATCAAAGAAATAAGTGATTAATGAATTATTTACAGCAACTTCTGCAAAATTTTATTTTACAAACAGGCGAGAATTATTGACTAAACGAACTTTTGTTGTGTGAATCTTAAAGGTGAGTAAGCAAATCAATAGCATTCAAGAGTTCAGATATATTCATAAGAAGGGAGCTCTGTACGAGAATTTCTCCAATGTGATTATAGTGCATACAATTGCTGCATCCCCCACGGCTATTCCACTTGGAACAGTTTGGGTCAACCCATGAGTTTTTATTTATTTCTGAAAAATCAGAATGATTTGAAAATAAAATATTTATGATTCAAGTAATTATTATAATGAAATGATTAAAAAGAATGAGAAATAAAAAAAAAGGAAAATTTGTTT